CAGTTAATACCGTACAGAATGAGGCCGAAATACGATTGTTTATAGACCGATGCCGGCCAAGTTTCAATAACCAGTAGAAAGAGGACATAATTCTGTACAAGATATGAAAGTTTTAAAAAATGCTATAGAATTGCAGCGGAGAAATTTTAGTTTAAAATGCTATTCTTGACAGTGCGTGCGCGCTATGTATGTATAATTAGTGTTGTCTTACATATTAGTACAGTATAAGGCCGAATTTCGATTGTTTATAGATTGATGCCGCCCAAGGTTAAATAACCAGTGGAAAGAGGAGATAATTTTATACAAGATATGAAAGTTTTAAAAAATCCTATAGAATAGCAGCGGAGAAATTTATAGTTTAAATTTCTTAGCAAATTGTATTGAATATTTGTTGGCAGTGTGGATAGCTGTTAGGAAAGTATCGTTTTGGAGTGCTTTGAAATGCGTTTGTAAGTTTGTGTGCGGATAACCATAAAGGTAGTAGTTAGCTAATGTGACCTGCATGGTTTATTTCTCCCAAATTGATTTGGGAAAGAAGAAATGGCTGTATTTATCATTTTGACTTTTGAGTGATTGAAATTAGTTAATTTACACAATATCGAATATCATGTTGAATGTCATGTTGAATCTCATGCGTACTTCACAGTGGTTAAATATAAACGCGTGATAGTTTATAAATAATCAGTGCGAGCACAACGGCTCCAAAATCACAACAAATAACAAAATATAAGGTAAGTTAAAACAGTAAAGCTTTACCTACCTCGATTTATTTTTCTAAGGCGCTCGATTATGTAAATTTTCGGCGAATAATCAATATATAGATTTTCTTTGCGTTTCTTCGACGAAAACCCGGCATGAAAATGTTCGTCGGAACCTCGGTATTTGTCGTATTTTACGAATCTGCCACGTGACTGGTACGCTCACCGCTCACCGCTCACCGCTCACCGAACACGACACGAAATTTAGAGCTATATGAAAGTTGCATGCCATATATGGCATGCAACAAAAATTAAGCATGAAAGTTGCAGTTGTCAATTTGCGTTTGCGTAAAAGTAGGCCGTACGGCAATTGCCATATCTTAACGGAAATTTGAGGTATATTTAAACCGATAACTGCACTGAAAAGCCCTTGAAAAATAGCACATTGCATTGGCATAAAATTACATTACTACATGCCCAGATAACAGAGAAAATTAAGCATGAAAGTTGCAGTTGTAATTTGCGTTCGCGTAAAAGTAGGCCGTACGGCAATTGTCATATCTTAACGGGAATTTTAGGTATATTTAAACCGATAACTGCATTGAAAAGCCCTTGAAAAATAGCACATTGCAGTGGCATAAAATTACATTACTACATGCCCAGATAACAGAGAAAATTAAGGATGAACGTTGCAATTGTAATTTGCGTTTACGTATAGAACGTAGGCCGTACGGCAATTGTCATATCTTCGAATTGTAGGTATATTTAAACCGATAACTGCATTGACATCAAAGCCTTTAAAAAGCAGCACATTACGTTGGCATAAAATTGGAGTACTACATACCAGATAACTGACACTGAATTAAAACTTTATTAACACTAAATTGTAATTTTAGAACTCTTATCTCGCAGTAAGTATTTGAGCGAAGAGACATATTATTGGTTTTTATTTGTTCAAATTCTAGGACAATATTCAATATTCTTTATACATATCGATATGCCCTCTTTGGATAAAACGCGGATATGGCTTAAAAAAGGCTGAAAAACGTTTTTTGGACCATATCCGCGTTTTATCCTTTTGGATAAAACGCGGATATGACTTAAAAAAGGCTGAAAAACGTTTTTTTAACCATATCCGCGTTTTATCCTTTTGGATACCCTTTTGGATAAAACGCGGATATGGCTTAAAAAAGGCTGAAAAACGTTTTTTGGACCATATCCGCGTTTTATCCTTTTGGATAAAACGCGGATATGGCTTAAAAAGGCTGAAAAACGTTTTTTGGACCATATCCGCGTTTTATCCTTTTGGATACCCTTTTGGATAAAACGCGGATATGGCTTAAAAAAGGCTGAAAAACGTTTTTTGGAAGCCATCCGTCCGTCCGTCCGTCCGCCACTCATCCGTCCGTCCGTCCGCCATCCATCCGTCCGTCCGTCCGCCATCCATCCGTCCGTCCGTATCCGCGTTTTATCCTAACCCAACATTTGGCTGGATATTTACTGGATAATACAGGAATTTTTGTTAGAACCATGAAACCATTTTCCTTTGTCTTTTTGGTATGTGAAGAAATTGTGAAACAGGAACAATTAGTTTACTGCTTACATGTCATGCAGAAAATGTTTTTGAAATGTAAACACGTACTCTCCGCTCTAGATTGCCCGCAGACCACCTTCGAGTTTAGACTCGAGTTCAAGTTAAGTTGTATATGCTTTTACCTTTCGGCTTTTTCTGTTTTTGCAATGCTTTCTCTTGGGGTTCTTTTGCTGTAGTATGGGAATATAGGATCATAAAGTGACGTCAATATTGAATATGTAGTGAAGAAAATACGGCCAGATACCCGCATCAGTTTTTCATTTCGCATGGATTTTATTTTTTATTAAATACAAATTATTATTATATATAAACATAAGTGTTATATAGAGTTTTTGGCCACTGAGAAAAATCGTATTTAAACACGTAAAAAATACGATATTTTTACGTGTGAAAATATCATTTGTTGTAAAACGCATTGCCACTGAATCTTGTTTATATAATAAACAGAAAAATACATGGGTGCTTGCAGGACTCGAAATAAATCTGGTATTTCCGCGCACCCATGTATTATTCTCTATTTATTATGCATTGCTGATGCATACACAAGCAACAGAAATTCTACAACGAACAGACGAAACAAGCCAACGTTTTCCGGCAAGATGGTTGTCAATGAAACACAATAGTCAATACCCATCGCCACAAGCCAAACAAAAACGTTAAAAGACTTGAAGACAAACAACAAGACTGAAGCAATAAACCAACACATACTATGACTACACAAAGGCCGACATGCTTTCCCGGTTATGCTTGGAACCTGATGACAACATAACCTTAGTTTTGAACACAAAACGGCATCGGACAGTTGGGACTTGGTCTAGGTGGCGATAATTGGCATTCACCAAGTCCTGGGCAATATGCATAAACGCACCCAGGTTTTGCCTTCACACTCATCAACAAAACATATATCCGTTTATCTTCACATCTATTTCCATCAGATCATTACAATTTCACATCGCAATATACTATATCTATTTTCAAATTTAAATCTGTACACCACAATACACCAAATTCATTTCATTCAATAATCAGACTTCGCCTACCAGATGTTCTAGCAGGGGCAAGGCCATCCTATAACATCCTAGGATCTGAATACCTGGAACCAATGTAAATCTAAATAAATATTTAAAACAATCAACAAATAAAGATTTAAAATAATATATTTTACATAACTTTTGTTCGCTATTTTATGTTTTAAACACGTGTATGAAGAAAAAGCCAAGTGTACAAGAATCGGAGCAGCTCGGAAAACATCGGAAATGATCGGAAATGCCGATGCAATTAACCCAATTCGAACTCGGATCCAAACTCGATGTTTCGTGATTCCCATGCCACAGATATTTATACTTACTGTATAAACAATGAACTATATTATTGGGATAAAATAGTGAACCTTATAAGTACCACCATTAGTATCTGGTATCCGGTTATTATCCACTATTCGGTTATTGTTATCCGACAGAAGAGTGGGACGTCCTGTTCCCTCTTGGAAATAACAAAGGTTTGGAGCATTGATATATCAATTATTTGGAGGCAATGGAAATCTGCATTGCTATGTTGGACACAGTGAACTGGAAGAACCTCTTCTGTTGGACGCGCTTGATTGATTGAGGGACGGACTAATTGGAGCAAGTCTACTGTAAACTTGACCACAAATTATAACAATTCCGGCTAATACTTGCGATGTTAGTGTATATCCAAACACCGAGCAAGCTTGAAAAATATGCCTGACCACGGTGGAAATCGAACCTACGACCTTTGGAATACTAGCCCAACGCTCTTCCAACTGAGCTACGCGGTCAGATCGGTTCGAGTATGTGATATTTCGGAACAGAATTAGTTCCTTCGATATCAGTGTAATCTAGTAATCTACTAGATTACATTGATATCGAAGGAACTAGGTTCTGTTCCGAAATATCACACACTCGAACCGACCTGACCGCGTAGCTCAGTTGGAAGAGCATTGGGCTAGTATTCCAAAGGTCGTAGGTTCGATTTCCACCGTGGTCAGGCATATTTTTCAAGCTTGCCCGGTGTGGGTATACACTCAGAGTAACATCGCAAGCATCATATTCACCTGAGTACATTACACCAACACAGAAAAAAACAATAATAGTTATTTTGATAATCATATTATATGAACAGACATACAGACATGAACATACAGTATGTATAATGTACATGCACAGCGGATATATTATTGAAGCCAGTATATTTTCGTACTGCACTATTTACAGTTCCATACTGACATGACTATCTACAATTATATAGAATAATACAGAAAGTTGCAGTCCCATCCAGGATTGTGACAACGGCAAAAAACGAACGAGAGAAATCTTGTCTGGTGATGATGAAGAGGTACAGTAACGACAGCCATGCATACCGTAGTACATAATAGGAACAGGCAATTGTTTTGCATCAATACGTAATTAAACCCTTTTTGAATACATGTATTTAGTAATTTAGTAGCAAAGCTATTGAGGGAAGAGCCTGGGAACGAGGTTGAGCTATTGTACGTTTAAGGGGGGAAAATAAATAAAATAAAATAAAAGTAGAAAGCTATGATTTCAATTTGATAGAAGCTTTTATCTCAATCTTCTCTACAAGTATAATTTTATGTTTACGTTTTCTAGATTGGTGCAAGTTCTCAAAAGAGAAGACGTGTTTATATGTCTGCAGGTGATGATCCAGAGAACATTGAACGTTCCTCTTCAGAGGACATTTTATCTTATTGTAATTCGGCATTACAGGAGGTATGGTTTCGCTCTCATTGTATTTACTGTACTCTCTCAGAAACCACATGAGCATTACAAAATGAAGGTTGTCTAATATTAATCTATGCAAATTTATAAGTAGAAATGAGAACTTGTAAATTTACGCATCATGCCTGCATGAGTATACATTTTTGGAGCTCGCCGGACACAGCCGGATAAGACCACTTTTCTGTCGAACATGGTCTAATAATTGTGTTAATTTCATATCGATGTACATGTATCCAACATAAGTTAAATATTTTTGCAACGAATTTTCCTTGTGCGAGCCGCGAAGATGAAAGCACTTCAAGGCCATCGATTTATTGTGCATAGTTATTTAATCCAATGCTATAAAAGTAATTAAATTTACGATTTATCAGATTTAACATTGACTGTAACAGTGTAGGTATTTCTGTTTAACGCAACGGGACCAGCCGTACGATTCTTTTATAGGCATTATAGTCTTACATTAATACACGATCTACTTATATCGTAATGGCATTACATGACAAGTTCCATTACAACTTGCACCAGTGCCTTAGTTAATATTTGTTCATTAATCATTGTTTATTCTTGCATCAATTTTTCTTCCAGCATCCATGCTCATTTATGCCAGATATAAATAGCAAAGAAAATCAAAATCCAAGAATAAATCCAGCTCATCAATCTGATTTTGAATTGAATGCTAACACTGATGTAAACTCTTCCCAAAATGAAACTGAGACGGGAAACAGTGAAAACAAAATTCAAGAAAAGCAACGTAATGACAATATTTTACACAAAGAAAAGGACATTGGAACTAGTATGTCTAACATAATTTTAAGTACAAATTCAGAGATATCGCAAAAAGATGAAAAGGCAAGCACTTCTGAAGTTAAGGAGAACACAGATTTATCCAAAGTCGACCCCTCGCTCGATATAAAGCATGAAAACGTAGAAAAAGACATATTATCGGTTGTCTTGGAGACTCAAATGGATAAAATATTGCCTAAGTCAAGCTCATATGTCCAACAGGAGACAGAAGAAATGGAATGTACGACCTCGGAAAGCCAGGCAACATCCAGTGCTATTGATATTAGTAGTACTATTACTTCTGAGGGCGGAAATCAGCCAACGTCGAGTATTATCTCTGATAGAACTACGACTTCTGAAGACGATAACCACTCAACATCTAGTGTTATCTTGAACGATAGTAGTACAATGATCTCTGAAGACGAGAATCAGGTAAACTCGAGTGTTCCCTTGGATGATGGTAAAAACAATACGCACGATATCGACAATGCAGACGATAATCAGCTTGTGCCCGATGTTATATGTAAAACAGAGGGAAACGAAGTTAATAAATTAGGTTATGGTAAAGAAAGGAATGAGACTGCAAGTGGAGATCAAGTCGTTGACGAAAACAACGAGACAGACAAAACATGCGAAGAAGATGACATGCTGATTGCCAAGCAGATAGCCGAGGGTGTTCTTACAGACACAATGTTAGATCAAGAAAAAAAACTTCATCAAGAACATTTGGAAGAAGAAAAAGAAATTGTAACCAAGGTACGTTGAATGTTTGGATTGATTCCAGTGAACTCTGTGTAACTGGAACGATAACTCGGGGGAGGGGCGGAAATTCACTTTTTCCGGTGGGGGGGGCAAAGCATCCTAAATTACCGACAAAACTTTCAAATTTCCGACGAACCCCCCTATTTGCACTCGAAAAGGCCGTTTTTAGCCTTCTTTAGATCAAAATTTCAGAAAATTCGTGTCGGTCGCCCCCTTTCCCCCCCCTCCCCCCGAGATTTCCGCCACTGGGGGGGGGGGGATTGAAGCCAGTGCATTTTAGTTTTTCTGAGTTTTGAGCAGAGATACTTAACACAGAACCTTGTGCTGTATAGGAAACTGAAGCTATTGAAAAACGCTATTTAATTGGTGTAGAAATTTCAAGACTTTAGCCAGAAGGGAAATATTTAAAAACCACAAAAATAATTGCCAATAATTTTCCATTTTTTGGCCGAATGGCAGTTGTTTTTGTATTTTTCTTTTTGAAATTTCCACACCGAATAGTAATTTTCAATAGCTTCAGTTTGATACATAATAGCCCAACGTTTGGGATCAAGTATTTCAGCTCAAAACTCAGAAAAACTATTTTGGCTTCAAATACTTTCACACTCAACTTTCGTTGAGTGTGAAAGTTTTTACAATACTGTATATACTAGAAAATACATGCATGCAGAAACCCTCGCCTTGCTGACAAAACCATTGTATTTTCCGAAAATGAAGTTCTAAAGTAGTTGTCATGGTAACACGATAATTTTTTAAGAATATTCTTACAAATGAAAAATCGCCTAAAAATATCACTTTTAATTACAAAATTATTAATTTCCCAACATATATATGTTAGGTATGTTATTATACGTAATATAAGCCTCAATTTAAGGTAAAATTCAACCACAAATTAAACGCTTCGCAAAACGTTTTAAAGTCACTAGTGTTCTTTATAAAACTAAACTGCCTTTTAAAATGGCTTTATCAATAAACTTTGAGTTTGCGATAAAATTATTTCAAATTCTCGCTTGCAAATAACTTTGCTTTCTTTTTTATTTAAAAAATTCAACGTCATACATAAAAAAGGGAATCAATATTAAAGATACACTGAAATAATGAAATTATATGCTGCTTGTTTAGTTGTTTCATATACGCAATAGCCCGCGTGCAGGCCCAAGGGAGCAGGCTCAAGGGAACTTGATAGTGGGCCTGCAAGCAAGGTCCGGTATCTTGTACTTTCCGCGTTCGCCCACGAACGCGGCATTCTGATTGGCTGTTTGCTGTTGGATTCTATAATTAAGTCAGTGATTCATCACAAAGGCTCTCGATAAGCTCAAAATTCGAAAATTGATCACTTTTTTCGATTATAAATGGAACAAGAACAGACTGTTTATTGTTTACTAGAAGGAAGAGATGTTTTTGCCGTTATGCCAATGGGGATTGCTTGTCGTGAGTTGTTGGAATAGCAACATTACGACTGGGGTAAACTATAGTAACCTTTACTTGAGTTTCATTAATTTCAAACAGACTTGATATGTTATATGTTCCTCAAGAAAATTATCTTTTGGTTGATGTTGAGATGCAGTTGCATGTAAGCCTATTAGAAACACTTTGCGATTTACAAGGCTTCGCTGAGAGAACGAAACAGAAGACGGTATATTTAAATTGCCGTTTGAAACGAAACGATCTGGACTCTGAACGCTCTCTTCTTTTGTAGAGTTCTTTACCAAATGAAATAACTGAAATAAATTCCGTACTTTCCGCCGCCAACAAGAATTGCACACACGATCTGATGAGACAATTTACTTATAACAATGCCAACGGCGATAGCGAAACACACATTATAAATGCTAATGTGGTCGCACGACTTCCCTCACGATTTGAAGCTTGAGACTGGTTTTCTGTTGAAATTCGTCCTAATTTGCCTGTTCCGATTTTAGTTAAAAATGAGCACTTGCAAATTTGGCAATTACTGACTGCGTTGCTTGCTTTTTTGGAGTTAAAACGCAGCCATTTACACATTGTTTATGTTCTGAATATGCAGAGAAAACCCCGCAACATTTTAATGCGAGTTTGTTTGTTAATATTTGGGTGCTGTCATTGGTTCTTTTTTTGACAATTGACGCGCGAATGGGGCGTGTTATGAAAAGGGGCGTTTTACAAAATACCGGGCCTTGCTTGCAGGCCCACTATCAAGTTCCCTTGAGCCTGCTCCCTTGGGCCTGCACGCGGGCTATATACGCAAAGGCCGTCGGGTTTTAAAGCCATTATAAAATCAATATTTAAAACAAACTCACCTTCGTTAACGTCGGCTCCCTTCTTTTAGCCGATTCTTTCGCAGTTTCTTTCTGAGAGAGCTTTTGAAATTTACAAAATTGATTGCAAAAATACGAGTAAAAATGAAATACATTCGCAAGAAATTTATCAATCATCAAATCAAGAAATGTTTGCTATTTCGCTGTCGTGATGTAGTCGTTATAATGCAAACTTTAAATTGGACCAATCAGTGTCCGCTATTCATGACAGTCCGCCATATTTTTGAGATCAGTGAGGATGACCACCCATCGTTGGTGACCCACGCCCGCGATATTTGATGAACTTTAGACTCCGCTAATGCTTTCGTTTCCCCGGGTGTAAATAGCCGGGGGGAATTAGTACCCTCGCACGGCGCTTCGCGCCGTCGGCTCGGGGACTATAGTGCAATACATATGTCTCGTAAACACACGTCATGTGACGACCACGGCTATTAACACGAGAATTAACACGTTTGTTCAGTTATAGATGCACAATATGAAGTCATAATGTGGGAAGAACAGAAAGTGGCGCACGAGCCGCCAACACGAGAATTAACACGTTTGTTCAGTTATAGATGCACATTATGACGTCATACTGTATATCTATAACTGAACAGACAACGGCAAAATCTTATCTGTTTGTTTTATATAACAAAAAGAAAACCCTGAATTAAAGAGGTAAATAGCTTATTCTTTATCCACCCAACCATTTGGAAATTTGAAAAAGTCGACATTTTACAAATGTCACGCGTACATGATCTATCAAATAAGGGAATGCTGTTGGATAAGGTTTTGTGTGACGTGGGCTCGGTTTGCAACGGTAAAATATACATACTTTCATGTCTTGCGTGTCCACGGTATAGCACTATAGCATTTTAAGGTATTAATTATTTAATCTGTAAGAAGCTTTCCACGTATCCCATCTTTTTAGTTACTGAAAACGTAATAAAGTTAATGGTAACGTTAGCGGGAAGTCAAAATATGAACCTCATTACGTCATACTAAGCAAATCACGCGATTTTTGGATGGAACAGCAAAGGGAACCACCGTCTGAATTCGCCAGAAAATTGCCTTTATGAATTCGTATTAAGCATAAGTAAAGGTGATCAACTGGAGCTATACCGAAGCAAACCTTCGAAATTTTGCCAGTTAATCGGCCCTGCACTGTATGGTTTTATCCCCGAGCCGACGGCGCGAAGCGCCGTGCGAGGGTACTAATTCCCCCCGGCTATTTACACCCGGGGAAGGGAAGCATTAGCGAAGTCTAAAGCATTGAACTATAAATAAACTGGAAGGCTAACTGCTATGATGAAGGCCTATGATTTGATGAAGCCAAAATAGTTTTTCTGAGTTATGAGCAGAAATACTTGACCCCAAACGTTGGGCTATATATCAAATTGAAGCT